TCCCGCTCTTTTGGTGTTAAACCTCCCTGGATTTTGAAAGACTGCTCTTTTGACATCTCACTGTCTATGCACAAGAAAGAAGATACTCCAGATTACGTCTTCAGGAATCTAATAGCTGAAAAAACCCAAGTATTGGACAATACTGGTTGGAATCTTTTCTACACAGACGGCTCAAAATCTCCTGGTCTGCCTCCTGCTTGTGCGGTGGTAGATGCTACAGGACGGGTTCTTCTCAACCACATATTTCACGAAAGCACTTCAACTTTCATAACCGAAGCCAGAGCTATCCTTCACGCTGCCAACCTTGCCCATAAAAACAAACTCAAAACCGTCATTGTTACTGACAGTTTGTCCGTATTACAAGCTACCCGGAACCCTTCGACTTCGAGATGGAGCACCATCAACAAATTAAGGAATATAATTACTACACCCGACGAAAAAATTAAAATGTTATGGGTACCAAGTCACATCGGTTTACTGGGAAATGAGCAGGCTGATCGAGCGGCAAAGTATGCTGCTTCTGCTCCTCTAATTAAGGATGATGTCATGGAAAAGTTGGATCTTCAAAGATACATTGGAAGAAAAGATAAAGAGAAAATTGCAGAAGGAAATTTACAATACCATCATCAACACTACTCTTGCATTAACCCTCAATTAACTCCACCTCTATATCCAACAAATGTTGAGAAAACCAAGATCCAAACATTTTCGAGAATTCGCCTTGGTCATACAATTGCAACTCACCAATGGATCCTGAAGAAGTCTTCTCCCCCAATCTGCTGTTGTGGACAAACTCTTACTATAAAGCACATTCTCTGCGACTGCCTCAACTTTTCCTTGGCTAGAAGTATTGCATTTGGAACGATTAACCCTTTGAACATTCTACAATCAGCTTCAGAACAGAATATCAATTTAATATTTTACTTTATTAATACTGCTAAGCTTATTATCTAATATCCATTTATTTAAATTAGAGCCGATAGCCTGTGTTGCTAGTGCTCAATGTCTTTTTTTTAGTCTAAGAATTCAATTCATTAGTCTAAAATTAAAATAATAATAATAATAAAATTTTAAACTGAAATGTCGCATTATGTAAAAATATTTTTTGATTTATTCAAAATGTTCAACAATAATAAAAAAAATAAATATATTGAAACTACAAATTTCTCAGTTACTGCTTTTTTTAAGTCTAAGAATTTATTTCATTAGTCTAAAATTATAATGATAATAATAATAATAATAAAACAAAATTATTCTATCTTAGCGGAACTTTTTTAATGTTTATGAATCTTTTTAATACACAATTTTTTTATATGAATAAGCAGAAAAAAATTATATAAAATTAATAGAAATATTATTTAGTGACTTTAAAGTTGCGCAGACAGCGGGTCTTTAAACGTTTATTGACGTTGGAACCAGTTGTGCTTGGAATATTTGCGTCCTCTTTGGTTACTTCTTCAATTATTATACCATTCACCGATTGCTCGAATGGATTGATGCGTTCTGATCCACCAAATCCGTTGGACACAAAATTGGAATCTTTTGTCTGAATTATACTGGCACCATTAGCAGCGGCCGCAATAACCCCGATGCGAGGCTTTTTAAAAATTGAATACTGCAAATATAAATCATAAAATAAATAGAATTTTACTGCTGCTATCAAATATTAAGGAAACTATTAATAAACCTTTTCGCTAAGTTCACTATGGCATTCTGATTTGTTTGTACGTTTTACCGGCGAGATTTTTAGATTACCCAATTTCGTGGTAGTCACCTTAGTGGCTCCTTCGCCAGCATGTTTAAGCAGAGGCATCAAACCCACACTGCTAGCTTTTATTTTCAAATAAGGAGAGTGCTGGTCTTCGACCTTTTTAAGTGAAAATACATGGAATTGTGGTATAATTTTTATAAAAATTTGGAAGCTTACGTTAACAACGATAGAACACTTTTTTTCTTCTTTATGGCACGGAGAAGGCGAAGGCAGCATCGCAGTATTTAAACCTATGCTAATATCTTTTACACCATTTATATTGTTCACTACAGGATTTTCTAAAGTTTTAACCTGCAAGAAATGTTTAATTAGAATCTCTTTATAAAACCTTAATTCGCTTCCGGCGCTACATACCTTTTCCTTTAGTTGATAGTTTTCGCTTTCCAGTTGAGATATACGCTCTTCATGATTTCTATGCAAGAAAGTAAATAAGGTAATGAAAAGTTATATGTTGAAAGATTATGTTTCATTTTTTGTGAAAATGTAACAAGGTAGTGAGAACCAATTCAATTTCCTTTTAATTTGAGCTGTGCTATATTTTAACGCTGTAATTTCAGATAGCTCGTGAGCAGATGATATAAAAAAGGCATTGGAATGCACCACACGTAGTATATGCTTCTGTTAACAATACAACAAGAAGCAAGTTTTCCGATAAGTTTTAGACGTTTTTCTCTTCTTATCAAATTTTATTGTAGAATTGTTACTGAAGGAGACGAGAAAGACGGACAGTTGGATAGGCAAGTTTAGATCGATCCTATCTGAAGTCATTCTGGGTGTTGTATACATTCACGCAAACCATTAGTTTAGTGTGTGGAAAAAGTAAACGTAGACTTATTATAGAGTATGGTGAGCTGAGATAGTTGGGAGATTGCATTAAAATGGTTTCATTCCAATGCTTACTTTTTTGTTTCTGTCTGTTTGTGTAAATCAGTTTGTACCACCTTCAAAAGATTCCGCATATCAGTTTTTTTATGCTCGCATACACGTAATTCTCTGTAAATCAACAAACGAAAACAAAGAAATTGAATAGATTTTAGTATTTTTCGCTTTTTCATTTTTTTTTTACCGTTTTAAAGTTGCAACCCAAGTTGCTAAAGTCTTAATATCATTGTTGCTGTTTAGCAGCTTTTCAGCTTCGACGGAAGAAGCTGTAAGTAAAGTGTTGATGCCCTCCATTGTCTCAATTTGATTCTTAAGTGCCTTGTTTTCTTTGCTCGCATCTTCCATTGCTTTAACACGGGATTTAAGCATTTTTAACTGAAATTTACATTTTGTTAAATATTCCCATTTTCTTATATTCCTTCCCTTGTCTGCTCTCAAGTAACAATAGTTCATACCTGCTCCGCGTAGCTTGATATCACGAAATCTTTATTTTGTAATTTTAAGTCGAACCCTGTTATGGTTTTCCTATTTTTATAAATATTTTGCCATAATTCGAAAAATATTTTATATACAATCAACTTACATGCACTTCTTTTTTATATCATTTAAGGATTTTATCTGATCATTAGCAGTTTTTAATTCAGTCTCTTTCATCTTAATTTGTAGTTTTGCATTGTCCAATTGCTCTTGCAATGATCCAATGTCTATACGACTCGTGTCCAAATTCGCCAAATTGAAATATACACGTATTATACTGCGCTCGGGGCACTTATTACGGCACTGAGGACATGTCTTTGATCTAAATAAAATTTTTTACAAAAAGTAATATTAAGCGAAATTTTTATCGCTACCTACCTTTCTAGCCACTGTCCCAGGCACGTGAAATGAAACATGTGTCCGCATGTTGTAACATAGACTTCATCGGATGGTGAAAACAATTCAGTGCATATAGCGCAATTTAAATTTAACATCTTTAATTAATTAATAGGCATTAAACTTAATAAGACGAAAAATAAAACAAAACAAAGCAAAACAGAAATTTAACAAATCAAATATATCAAATATGTGCGGTGTGTTATAATGATTTTAATTCCCGTTGTCTCGCTATAGTTGCCAAAGTTAGCAATTTATTTTTCAACTTGTGATATGATTAAAGTTCATAGGAATGGGGAGTTCTAAACGAATCTATTGTATTGTAAGATCAAAAGAATGAAAGAAGTGATTTTATTGAAAGAAAATCTCTTGTTCTGAAATGTGGCGAGCTTTGAAATTGATAGTTCGGGTCATAAGTGTAGTGGGTGCTTGTACATCCACTAGACTACGATCGACAATATTCCTATCGCTTTCTCCTTCCTCATTTCCTTCTGACGGTCACCAATTTTTTTTTTTTTTTTTTTTTTTTTTTTTTTTGTTTGTTTAGAGATGGATTGGACCAGTTAAGTTAATGTTAGATCCATAATCCAGAAACGAAGTTGAGAGCGATTGATGAAAAAATTTAAGCATAGGTAGACTGATGTGGCGGAGTGTTCGCAATGAGAGGCTCTGTTCCGCTGTCAATCCATAAGTCACCGTCCTTGTTACTGTACTGTCAAGATCCGGCTAATAATGCCGATAAAAGAAAAAGTGTAGGCGATTCGTGATTGTAATAGAAATACTAAATGTAAAATTAGAATGAAAACTCAGCTGATTTGCTAAAGGCAGTCAGTTGCTTCAAATGCCTAAAGTTACCAGCACGAAAAATTTCATATAGATTGTTATACAGGTTAAATATACTGAAAGATTGTCTAAGGATGTCAAACCTCCTGCACTCAAAAATAAGGTGCTCGGCAGATTCAGTAATATTGCAATCCTCACAGATGTCAGAGGAGGAGACTTTGATCATTTTAAAATAGACCTTGTCGTAGGTGTGATTACTCATAAGACGGTGAAGAACTTTAAATTCCCATGTTGTGAATTTTCCTTTAGGTAGAAGCGTGGGTGTCAAAAAAGGGTAAATTTTGTAGAACAGCCGGTCACTTCATTTTTCAATACTTGTGTCTTTTAAAAGGTTGTAGATATCGAAGACATACTTATTGAATGGGTCTTTGTTCTTGATTAAAATTAGAGCAGATTTGCTGTCAGAGAAAACTACAAATTTTTTCAGCTTAATTTCAGATGCGTGGATGATTGCTTGTCTGATGGCCAGAAATTCAATGAAAGTGGATGATAGTTCTTGTAGAACTTTAAATTTTCCTATAAGTAAGTTTGGGTATTCAATAATTGAAAAACTAGAGATGTCCGAATTGATAGATCCATCCGTTGCGTATATTTTGAAGTAATTTTCGACGAAGTGGTTAAGTTTTTGCAGACAAGCGATTCGAAGACAAGACCCTGATCGATTTTTTTTTGAGTTGGTGATTGAATTAAGTAAGTTTAATTCAACTACGCATTTATCATGAATAATATTATTCCAGGAGGGTATTGAGTTAACTTTATTGAAGATGTTACTGAATTTTTTGAAGCAGTTAGAGTAACTACTGATGACATGATTGTGTCTGGAAGCGACCTCGTCAAAGAAGGCAGGTTTGAAGATTTTTACCTTGAGAAGCTCTTTTGCAGTTACAAGATAAATTCTCTTAGCAACGGCGAGTTCATAAGAGATGGAACGTAAAATTGATGTTGGTGTTGAGGGGGACAAACCGGTACAACGTCTTAGGATTGAGTGTTGAAAGGTTTGTATTTTTTTTAATGTATACGCAGGAGTGTTACACGATGTAGAGTAGGGATATTCAATTTTGGATCTAACAATAGATTTGTAAACGTTTAATGCTTTCCTAGGTGGAAGTCCGGTGTGAATGTTGGTCAGAAGTTTGATGACATTTGAGCCTGTGTTGCAATTTTCGAGGCTATCCTTGTAATGCTCATGCGTGGTTAAACTTGAGTTGATTATTCTGCCCAAAAATTTAAAAGAGGAAGACGGACTGATTTTTATACCATTGATTGTAATGTAAAAAATTTTTTTGGGACCCTTAGCAAAGCGAACGGCTTTTGATTTTTCCGGGTTGAAAGTTAGATTTAAGTCTGCAAAAAGTTTGTGAAAAAGATTGGCTTTAGTGTCGAGGTTACGGACTGCTTCCATTAATGATTTTCCAGCAGAGATGATGAGGAAATCGTCAGCATATTGAAATAAATGGGTAGAATTGTCCTATAATTGATGTAAACCGGCTGTATATAAATTGAAGAGAACTGGGCTGAGACAGCTACCTTGAGGTAAGCCTCCACAAACTTGGACTGTATGTGAATCTAATACGAGAGTTCTCGAGGAAAGAAAGTTGAGAACCCAATGCCTATTTTGTGTCGGGATTTTAAAATCAGATAGAATTTGGTCCAGTTTCGCTAAGTGTACACAGTCGTAAGCTTTATTAATGTCTAAGCAAAGCATGACTACCTGGTTCCCATTTGCTTTTTCATTTGCAATTGTGAAAAGGACTTCATTAAGGCACATACCGGTGGAGATATTTTTTTGGTAAGCAAAGGACCTTGACGGGAGAAGGTGTGAGTGATTCAGGAATTTTGTTAGTCTTTCTTTAATCATTTGGTTGGTAATTTTTAGAAGAACAGGCAAGAGGGATATGGGTCTGAAGTTGGTGAATATTTCAAGATCTTTTTCGGGTTTAGGAATGGGCACTATTTTAATTGTACGCCAAACGGTGGGAAACGAGTTGGTCATCCAGCGCTCATTTATAGCAGATAGCAGGGTTAGAAGGCTTGGCATGGGAAGGACCTTTATCATTTCATATTTGATTCCGTCATGGCCTGCTGCTGTGGACTTCTTTTTCGACTTAAGGACGTGTATGAGTTCATCAAGGGAGAATGGAGAGATGTTTTCCATCCGAGAGTTAAGTAAGGAGGTTTGGAGACCACATTTCGAGGGAACTTGAGCTTTCAGCCATTCAAGGTAGGATTTGTTGTTGAGATCATCCCAGATGGGGTGCTTGTATTTCTTTTTTGTGGTGCGATGACCATTTAAAAATTTCCATAATGGCTTTGTATTGCTATTTGAGCATAGTTCTTCGATAACGAGGGCTCGATGGCATCTTTTGGCTTTTCTAGTCGATTTCTTCCATTCTTTTTGTGATAACTTGAAATCTTCAAAATTAGAAATATTGGGGTATTTGGAAAATTATTGTTTAGCAGCCTGTAATCTACGGAATTGTGAAGTGAGCAGCTCGTTCCACCAAGGTTTTGGTGAGTAGGAATTCGAGATTTGGATGTCGGATTTGGCGTTAATTATTTCTTGTTGAAATGAGCACTGGATAGATTCGACCTGTGGCTCAAGACATACGTGAACAAGATTATTTAGGAGTTTTTTCCTCGAGATAAAGTCATTTATCTTGTACGAGGTAATAGAGGTGGCATTAAAGAGAATAGGAAGGTGGTGGCTGTTTCCCAGGAAAATTTCTTTTTTAACCTCCCGTTTGAATGTGAGATGGGTTGCGTTAGTGAAAGTAAGATCCAACACGCTACCACAATTGTTGGTCGTAGAGTGAAAATAGGTTGGTGAATTATCATTCAGACAATAGAAGTTACTAGCTTTAATGATTTCTTGCAAGGCTTTGCCTTTATTGTTTGACACGGAGTCACCAAAGCAAGGGTGTCTTGCATTGAAATCTCCTGCAATTATGACATTGTGGAAACTATTGAGCATATCACAGAGACGATTAAAGTCATCTCGGAAAGATTGAATGGGGATGTTGGGCGTGAAATAGCAAGCAGCAATGACGATATTAGGTTTTAGACAAGAGGTTTTGATAATGACTATGTCAGCAGTCGATTTAAATGGGATTTGTTTGAAGGATATGCCTTTTCTGGCAAGGATGGCAAAACCTCCATAGCCGTCACTTCTACATTTATAAGCGGAGTTGTAATTTGAGATTTTGAGATCGGAAATTTTTTCATCGGACAGAAAGATTTCACTCAAGATGGCGAAATCAGTACGGTTGGAATTTATGAAAAAATCAAGAGAATGGGCTTCAGGCGTTGATGCTTTGTATGTTATACTGTAGGAAGGACGTCATGAGAAATGTTAGAACATGATAGGGCCGACTCAGATGTACCTTGTTTTAAAAGATCAAATTTTGATTTAAGGGAACTTATTTCTGTTTGGATGGTTTTAAGCATGTCTTCTTGAGAAGAGATGGAGAGAATCCTGAAAATCTTTTCCAGAATTATCTCCATTTCAGTGGATTTATGGTTATTGACGAAAGTATGCTTTTCAGGGGGCGGGGTAGGTTTTTTTGGCTCCTGCGACTTGTTACTGTGAGTCGAGGGCGTCTTGAGAGACATTCTGTGCAAGGACTTGGGAATACTTGTTTTATTTTTTAAAACTGCATTGAAGTTTTTGTTAATTAAAATATTATTTGTATCAATAGTAGGGTCTCTGATATTGTTAGGAGCATTGCTGTCCTTCATTGCTGGGAAGTTTACGTCATAGTTTTCAAGTAAATTGTATGGGTTGTTAGAGAATTTCTCTTTGTATTCTCTAAAAGATAAATTCTGGATGGTTAAAATTTTTTTTAAATTTTCCTCTTTCTTTCTTTTTGGACACTCTCGAAATGTTACGTTGTGGTCCAGCGACCCGCAACCTAGACATTTGATTGAGAGCCATGAGTCCGTAGGACAGGCCGGTGACTTGCCACAGTTCAGGCATCTGCTTTCCTTACTTTTGCAGAATTTGGCGATGGGTCACCATACTACACGTGACATCATTTAAGTGATTATTCTACTGCATCAACAGGTTTTTTTTCATATGGAGACACTTCCAAAGTCAAAAACTTAGTCTATCTCTGTTCAACATACAAAAAAAAAAAAAAAAGTTTTTTTCAGTTATCGAATAAATTTTGTCGAAAATTGTCTACGCAATATTAATTTTAACAATAGCAAAATGAACCCAGTTTCGAAAAAGAACGTATATTATAAACACTGCGAATATTTCAGTTGTGTCAAAAAATAGTCGCTGGAAGCCAGATGCGCTTGGGCGCAAAGTAAAGATTCTCGAAAGTAATTATTATGTCTTTTTCCAGAACCCAATTTCAAAGGAACGGAAACCTAAGTTTCTTTTTAGACATTCTTTCGATACTTTTAAATTAAGCCTCGTCTTTCAAATGATATTATAAAAGAAATATTTTGATGTCTTCCTGCGGGAGGGAGCTTCGCCGAATTGAATGGTAAATATTGTCATTCTTACAATATCTAACAAAGATGCATATCATCCTTCTCCAAATGCACTGCTCGTCTCTAAAGTCAAAAACTATATCATAAAAATTGTGAGGTCTATATGGAA